TACTTACCTTGTGTATATTTCGCACTTTCAGTCATTATCTTTCTTTATTGCTACATGCAAACAGTCTACTTATGATAGAAAGATTCTATTCCATGTTATTAGAAATAAATTACACCTTATGTTATACTTTTCGCAAATTGGAATATACTTACCTTAAGAAACCATTAATTATTTGGTGGTGTATATTCGAAGTCCGAAACATACAAAGTGTAATAATTATAGCCGAGCGATGAGAAATAATAAATGTTTTTTTCGAAGTTCGGGTAAAACAACGATTAGCGTGAAAAATAAAATGTCCTTTAACATATATTTCGTTTTCTATAATCATTAAAGAATTACGGCGCAAAAAGTGAAATCAGCGTTCCAAGTTCAAACTCCAGCCGATATTGTTGCGTTCAGTTTCGCACAGATATCCTTGGAGATGAATCTATATCTTTCCTCCTGAGTCACTGGTTAAATAGTAGAGCATACTGGGCTCTATAGACTTGGTTGGCAATCAATCTAAGAGATATACAACTGAATTCAAACGTGAGATGGCACTGAGACAGGTACAAGTCTAACGACACAGACAGTAAGATGGCGAAATTTAATGGTTAAAACAGCAAAAATTCTATGATCACCAGAGCGGAATCGATACACGACATCCTTGGCGATCAAGATAACAATCACTAAAATATCGTAATTACTTCACAACATTTCTATACTGTAAAGATGCCACTCGAAATTGACACGCTTCTTGCTAAGTCTGACAAACGATACAGAAAAATTAGCAAATAAACTCTATACGGCATAAAATTAAAGAGATGAAAAAAGGAACAGCTGTAATTTTTAACGCAGAATAATAAAAAAAGCAGGCTTAGACAATTTAACCCATGGCTTCAATGACCAGCTAAGACAAACTTTGTGCCGGAACTCGCGTAAGTGGGTGCTGAGTAAATTTTAACCATTGCCCGAATGGAAACGCTCGGGTTTCTCACGTTAAACAACTGATGTTGTGTCGCATCCTAAACCCAGCTGCCAGGTGAATACATCGCTTCTCGGCCTTTTGACTGGAATCGGGCTGTTGTATCTGCCCTCGGGCGGATGAGCTGCATTTCTGCTCTCAGTTATGTCTGTCTTCGGTCGGAGCGCGACTCGGTTGTGCGTCTGTCTATGGACAGAGCATAACTGAAAAGATTAATGAGAAGTACCCGCAGTAGTAACGCCCTCATTAAAGCGGGGGGGGGGTGATCGGTTATAAAACCGATGACAGCTCAAACGACGGTTGCGGGGACTAGGCTATTTTGGGACATGACCCGGGTGCTCGCGCTCACGCTCCCCACATTAAACTGACCTTGTGTAACATTCTGCTAGCGTGGAGCGGCAAGAAAATATAGTCCCTTCTCGACGTTTTGGCTGGGATCCAAGTGTATTATTTGCTCTCGGGTGTATAAACTACATTTCACTTGGGTGTAAATGGACAGAGCGCAAATGAAAAATATTATTGAGAGGTGCCCGGTCTCATTAGTACCTCCTTCATGGCTCTGAAGAGGTCAGTCAGTTAAGCGCCACACGTGATACATGCTTGGGCGATTATGTATCTTTCGATATAAGACTGACGAGACAGAAGTAGGTTGTTTCTTTCTGCGGTAGACTGGTTACCAACCAAGGCTAAAGAACTCAGTCTGTCCTGCTATTTAAACCATATGGAGAAAGAAGATATGATTCATGCCTTTCCCAATGGTAATTTTGCGTAAGTGAATATAACGAACGCGAATGGAATTCGAACTTGGCTCTCTGAGTTCTCAGAGTCGATATTCATTACGCCACAACACACATCCGCACCAAAGAGGGGGGGGGTCGGTATTAATAACGATGCCAGCTCAACGGTTGCGCGGACTAGGCTATTTTTGGAACTGACCCGGGGAGCACGAGTTTCGGCTCTCCACGTTAAACTGACCTTGCGTTGGGTGGCAAGAAAAAAAAGGCTAAGATCAAAGTGTAGTATTTTTTTGTTATCAGCTTAATTTGATACTATCTCTCTTCCCACTTCTATCTTTCCTTTTTTCGACTTTCATACTGAAACCAACTAGTGTCTTTTCTCCTCTTTCCACGCGATCAAAACGGAATAGTCCATTATTTATGAGGTATTGGCAGGGTGTAACGGTCGTGCGAACTAACGAAAGGAGGGACGACCATAATTATAATAGGATATTAAGTAAATAAAAAGACAATAAAATATCTGTTCGGCTTCGGGCTTCAGAGACACCAAATACGCCTCTATACGTGAAAGTGGTCAGATGTCAAAAACACTTGCTAATCGTTTTCAAACTCCTCTTTTCTTGTGCATAAGACATTATATTTAATTTTATCCCAGCTTCAACAAATTACAAAAAAAAAATAAAAAATAAAAATAAATATGTTATGATTTGCCAACAGTGAAGCTGACGATTATATTTAACCATTTATTAATTCCTCGCGCATACATTCTTGTGTCTAGACAGTTTAATGCTCTGACTAATACAAACAAGGTTATAGAATTGTTAGGAAAATGAAAACACTCGATTGCTTGTTAACAAAATGTTTACATCGAAACTAATGTGTGTTCTCTTAAGAATTTTAAAAACAGAATAGCAAAGACAGAGTTATGCTTTTTTTTAAAAAAAAAACATCATGAAAACCTCAATATTCAGAAAAGCCGTATTGTTTACAGCGTTTCCGTTTTTTACAGAAAAATATTTCAATTCTGTAGTAAGTTATAATGCTGACATAAATTTAAGTCAGTCTTATGTTTATAGTTATCAACAGCCTCTAGACGACAACATAATTCTGCGTGTTCGTCCCTTACATTTTGCCATTACCTCAGATAAATAATGGACTATTCGTGTGTATGTGTGTACGCGCGAGAGAAAAAAAGGATAACGCTATCAAGCAGTTAACGTCTGCCTCAGTGAAATGGAGAAAAATGTCAGTTTTCTAATAGTTTCATTTTTAACCTCTTTAAATAAGGACTTTCGTTCAAAAATTCTCATTGTTATTGCAATATTCTGTTAAAGTTGTTAAGCTCAAATATTTAGCGATGCAGTCGTGGGATTTCCACGGGTATTTTATAATCGTAGAAACTGTAAGAAACGTATTTGATAAATGAAGAATCATGGCTCCTCATATAATTTAAAAAAAAATAGCTATCTATATTTCTGAGATGAGGTATTATGTACACTATTTACATTATTCGGACTATTGTCCTCATCTTTGCCGCCATATTTATTTCAACGTTTCGGCCGTTGTACGCTCCGGCCTTCTTCAGGTGGTTGGAATGTCGAAGTTAACCCTTTATTTCGCTCACTGGAGTAGACTTCTAGTTTCTCGTGGCTTGTTTAATGGATGTCATTTGTCAGTTATCTCCTGTTAATTCCCCTCTCCAAGTCCTCCACTGCCTTAACCGGGAATTGAACTCACATTCTTTGGGTCCTGTCACTGGATCTAACCAACGCCTTTATCCACTGTGCCATGTGTCCTCAAGGTAACTGTTAATAGAAACACTTTTTGTCATTTTAATTTTTCACAAGCTTTAAAAAATAATTACAGGCAAAATAGACTAAAATATTTTCTTTTCAAAATTGAAATAAAAAAAATTCTATACATTTTTATTCTTAATTTTCCTTGGCAATATTTCACGATGTTACATAGTATTCATCTTTTTCACAATGAAAACAAACATTCTTAAAGAAATTGCTAATTCGTTACTAACTCATGTATTCGTGTCGAAGTATGTTATTTTTCTTAAACTAATTAAGACAGACAACCTTGAAAATTATGAAAACACATTGCATTTCAAACAAACATAAGAAAAGTATATATTTTAAGTACTGGCGTTCATATTTCCCCAAACGATTAATACTTTTCAATCAAAGCCAAACAATACAGTATGAAGATAAGATTCGTGACCAGAAGAAAATTTCTCTCTCAAGGTATACACGTCATGCATAAAACACTCTTGAAATCAGTGCACTCACGCACAAAAGTTTTGAAGTTAAGAAAACCTACAACTCAAAATTACCATGATCAATCGAACAGACGGAATTTTGATCTACTGCCACGTTAATACGTCATTGTAATATTTATGTTAGAGACACTACGAAGCACCATTAAATCACGTCACAACGATAGAAAGGTAATTGTCAGAAATTATTATTTCGGACAGAACTACGCACATTTTAGCGGGTGGTCTCCCCACTCTCCGAAACCACTAAGCTACACTATAATAGCAACTACGACTATTCCAGCTAGCACCATTTTGTAACGATGACATGAGCGCTATTTTTGGTGATGAGTGATTAAACCTTCTAGTATGATGTATTGTCTGTCTGCCTTGTTCCCCCCCTTTTTTTAAGAGAATGATGACGCACTCTAGCGACACTTTAATCACCTGGCCCTCAAAACAAATAATCTATCATTAGTTACAAAATTGCGTTCAGGCCCATTTAATACCTGTGTAACGTCTACAGCCGCGGCGACAGCTGAAAACAAATGAATTTTCAACGAACCACATTACCTTCCTTATAGCTGGATATGCGTGTGTATTTTGAGCGAAAATGTCAAAGTAGCTCAGTCTGAATTAAAAAAAAAAACTTCTCTACTACGAAGTAATAAAGTATCAGGCATTGTAGCCCATAGATTATACGATGACAGAAATAATTCAATACGATTGCTCATATTACATTTATTTTACTTTAAAGAACAATTAAATTGATCCATTCGTTTTATATGGCTTATCAACTCATTGCGGGTTATTTAATAGCAGAAAAATATTTTTAGATAGTAAGATTTATTTTTAGATAATGATTTAGGGCTACAAGTCTTACTAATTAACCAATATCTGGGGGTGGGGAGAAGAGGTGAATTCATACCCAATATTATTTTCACGCAAGGCGATATAACAAACCCAAGTGGAATAGGAACTCGGCTCTCCGATTAACAATTTCGATTCGTTATCCATTACACCGCCCGCACATCCAAGCTTACAGTGTCTGGTATTCTCAGGCGGTCACATATCTAGGTGCTAACCAGTCTCGACGTTGCTTAACTTTGGTGATCCTACGGGAACCGGTGTTTCAACGTGATGTGGCCGTAAGCCAGAACAGTTAGGGGAGAAGATGGAATATTCAAAAACAGCGCACAAAGCAAAGAAAGAAAGAACATTATTAGGCAAGAAAATACTGTACAACTGTTCAAATCCGTATAATCCTTTCAATGCGCGAGCATTTTCTTAACCTACAAGTTTCTATATATCTAACAATATGATTTTATATACTTATTCTTGGCTCAACATTTCCCCATTATGTAATGAAATTTCATAGTCCATGAAACAGACGCAATATGCGTCTCATTACCACAGCACTGAATTCAAGTTGTTCATACATTGCTTTTGGTGTTTGAATCTGTTTATGTTAAGTACTACCAGCCATCTCTTTGTAAGCAGAAAGAGTGGTTGGTTGGATTAAAAATCATTAGAATGTAAGTGTTATATATCTTTATATAAAATTTGATTTTTGCAGTTTACTTTTGGTTGCTATGCATGTTTTTCATCCTCGATTGAGCTCTAACGAGAGACGACCCATAAACCGGTTTAGCTGTATTTTTTGTTAATTATATTGCATTTCGATATTGCCACTTTACGGTAATGTTTTTTCCGGTTTACCCTCTTTTATGTTATTAGATTTTCTTCTTGTTTTGAAATTCCCGTTTTTATCGCTTAAATATTGTGTACACCTGCAAAAATATTTCAATACATTGTTTTTTATTTCTTTCGTTTTATGTTAAAGAGAATGAGTGTATATGAATTTATTAAAATTTATAAAATATAATTAAAGTATAGAATCCCTAGCGTGAAACATGAAAATTTGTCAGTTTATTCCTTGTGAAATTATATATATGTATCATATACACAAAAACAATTTACTCACTACAAAGATGCGACCTTGTTTCGGTGCATTTAGTTGTACCTCGACTGGTGAAAATCAAAAATTATAATAAATAATTATTGCTCTACTCTCGGTATCGGGCCCTCATTTGAATTAATGCTGTGAACTTTAGAATCTATAATAATATTATTTTCGTTCTCATTACATTCATATATATATATATATATATATATATATATATCATAAACAACAAAAAACGATGACATTCAACCGATACACATGTGCGTACACAGACACACAAAAAGACAAAAAAATAAATCAACCTAACACCAATAAATACCGCACAAATTATTTTTTTTAATTTCGTATAAAAATAACGAAAATCAGAAAATCTGCTGTCAATTGCTGAAACCTCCTGATGAGTTGATCGAACGATTACAAAGTTTCGTCTACGAAACTCTGGAGTCGGATGCTGAATATAAAATCTATCAGCTAAGTGACAAATTTTATATTTGTATTAATCCTTCCTCTCTATAAATGTAAGATATTTAAGAAAAATTGATATCATTTCTTAATCTAATTTCTTAACCAATTTTCGTTCAAATGATCTCAAGTTTTAACAGGATTGAAGAAATAACTCTAAATTCTATATTTTTTGTTTATCTTCAGGTATAAAAATACCATTTAATAGAAAAGGCGTTTTCTGTGTTAGAGTATGCTCGAACACAGCTGAACAAGACTTGCGATTTTTTTCTCTAGGGGGACATATGTGTAAAGTATGGTCCATGTCCACACTCCTCCTATAAGTCTAGAGGAACACAAGCAGAGAATCACTGCCGCAGTGGAGACAGTTATCCAAGATACGCCGTAACGTGTTTGGCAGAAGCAGTCCTACTGACTTGACGTGTGCTTTGTCATAGGCGGCGCGCATAATGAAAACTTGTGAATTCGTTCATAAAAGTCACATACCTTAGAATTTCTCATTAAAATTTTGTCAATAAATATTATTTTTCTCAACAATAAGCTTTCTTAGTTTCATTTGCCTAGACTATGTAGTTACATATATAATGAACACAAATGTTTTTGAAAGACCCTGTATTGGAATTATATATATATATGAAAAATATAGTTTTAAGGTGTGCTGTATTTATGGGATAGAGTGCTCAATATCAGAAATAGAGCGTATGTAAATATAAATATAAAAGTGAACAGTGAAGTCAACACTCAGAGGCGACAGGCTGTTTCCTGCCAGTCGTCTAGCATGAAACAGCCTGTCACCAGCATAAGAGCTTTGATTATAGTGGTGAAGTTTGTGCTTTTTTTTTTTTAAAAAAAGGGCCGAAAATAGAGACCTGGTGCACAAGGTCCCCAAACGACACTCTGCAGGTTTTGAATTCAGAATTGTTTTTTCCAGTTGCCATCCAATAATCCAGTCTGTCCTGCTATTTACCCATAGCTGGAGGGAGAAGAGTATTCACACCTTTTCCAAGGATATTAAGTACGTAAGTGAATGTAATGGATTCGAACTCGGCTCTCCGTTTCCTCAATCAAACCTGCTATCCATTACTCTACCATGCCTCATTCATATATATATATATATATATATATATATATATATATATATATATATATATATATATATATATATATATATATATATATATATATATATATATATATATATATATATATACTAGGTGACCCCAAAGAAAACGGGAATTTTCGAAGTGAGTATTACCAGACATGAGCAAGTAAACGTTTCGCCATTTAGAATTAAAGATGAAATTTACAGTATCCCAGCTGGTTTTATTGGATTGTTAAAAAGTTTCCGTTTTTGTCACCCTATATATATATATAATATATATATATATATAATTGGTGCATACGGAATAAATTCCAATAACCAAAGCATACTATTCTTAAAAGAGTGCTCAATACAGAGTAGAGCAAATATAATGTATTATAATCTGATTGTGTAAGTATTGTCTTTTTCAAGATATCATCCTCCCCTGCCCATACCACCACTTCAAATGTATCTAAGTTGTAACGATGTTTTACTTCCCCATTAGATTAAGTTTTATTCTAACTGAGAATTTGGCTTTTCAATTAAAACAAAATAAATAAAATATATGTATTTTTCCTCAGTTTTTTTAAATAATTTTATAATATTTTAAACTTAATGCACATTAAATTTAAAATTGATAATTTTCAATTTTATAGTAAAATTTAATATCAATCAGTTAGAATGATTTCTAGTTTAGTCTAATATTAAGGCATTAATTATTATAACCAAGGTTCAATTGTCAATTTTTTTGAATTCTCATATACTTGTATTTTGATTGGTCATTGCAGTTTCCCTTATCGAAGGGTGTTTGGTTAATCTGAAGCTTTAAATCTCTTTATTCTAAATTCAACGCCATCACTTGATAAGACACCAGAAGTGTTGAAACAAAATGGCTATTTTTGTAGTGATTTTATCACCAGACAAACATTCTGTTGAAACGTGTATCAAATCAAATTTCATATTTTGTGTTCAAATGTGAATAAAATATTATTTAATTTAATATCTCAGAATCGTTGACTAAAGAAGAGAAAATTTACTGTAACAAAAATTTGATAGCGTATAATGACAATTGTTAAATTAATTAAATATCTCCTTCATTTTTGACAATACAGAGAGGTTGTTTATTTACTAGCAGATTAATCAACAGTATTGTCAGTATTATTAATGCATGGTTTAGTTAATTTTGTTTTACGGTATATCAACCTTAATATGTTATTTAATGCCGACAAGAGTTTTACAATAGATTCGTATGAACAGAATATGTATTCTTTGTAGAAATAAAATTTTAGATCAGGTTTCATTGGTGTATTTTGGAAAGAGGTTTTTCTCGAGAGTCAAATGTATTGCTGGTAATATTTTTGAAGAATGTATTGTTGGTAATTTTACTATAAAAATCTATTATACTTTCATAGCGTTTTGACCCCAGTTTGTGGGTAACTATTTGGCTATAGCTGGAACCCTAAAAATGCTACCACCCCGATTCAGGGTAGATCCGGGAACAACGGCAATTAAGAGTTGGTTCCACGCACCTTAAAGCCTGTCGATCAGAGGCCTTGCTGCCGGATGTAGCTTATCGTCATACCCAGGACGGTTGATGTATGGATAAATTATACAAATCTACATATGTCGCCGGGGACATATTTCGGCCAAATACTTTGTGATATTTAAATTTAGACTGACGACTCTATGCAAATCGCATGACCAAAGAAGGAAGGCGAAACCAATGAAAAATAGGAAAATATTGAGACTTCGTCTGGGATTTTAAATTTGGATGAAAATAATGGTCGTCCCCATAATCGTAAATGCACTGAGAAAAACATTTTTTAATCATTTCGTCCCAAGCAACTCAACAATGCTACTAGAAATCATTGAGGTTACAGAGAATAAAAGAGAATGTGAAGATTTTACTGAGGGGAAGTGAAAAAAAGGACAATACATGAACAGGATTCAGGAAGACAGAAGATGGAAACTGACATTGCAATTTAATCTTTTGAAGAAGAAAAAAACGGAAGAGAGTCCCACAGGCGAGAAAAGCAACTATTAGTATAGAACTGACGATTGTATGTAACTCGTTCAACAGCAAAACGATAAGACCTAATTGCCCATCTAGTAGCACACTTAAGGCAATACGAAAAAATGCTCATCAGAATAATCGCCATGAAAATAGTTGTAGAAAACACAGAGGGAAGCCACGTGAGGCCGGTGAGAAAGTGACTGAAATCGAGATGCAAGGATCGATTACATGACAGACCATTCTTTGAATTTTGTCAAGAATCTCGAGATATGTAGTAGGAACACCAGACCAGATATGGCAGCAGTATTCAATGTACGGACGAATGGTAGATTTATTCATATGCAAGGGGGATACTAATGAAGAGAATAGTCTGTCACGACATGGCGAACTAACTTCCCTAACAATAGACGTAGCAATTGCTTCAATATAATCCATCCATTTCATGTCAGTAGAAAAAAAAAACCAACTCAGAAACAATTCAAGCTACGTTACTGTTGCATATTGTTAGAATATTGAATAGAAGATTTAAATGTCTGTCTATATTTCTGAGATGAGGTATTATGTACAGTATTTACATTAGTCGGACTATTGTCCTCATCTTGGTCGCCATATTTGTCACAATGTTTCAGCCG